GTGCTAAGCATATGGAATTGAAATACTTTATCGTTAAAGAAGAAGTTCAGAAACATAGAGTGTCAATAGAACATACTAGCACTGATCTTATTATTATTGTTGATCCTTTAACAAAGGGATTATCGCCCAAATTATTTGCTGGCCATATAATGAATGTGGGCATTATGTTCACTAGTGAATGTTGAATGTTAATGTTATTATTAATGTTTATGTGACACTCTAAGATCTTTAATGTATAAGTTTCTGAAATTTGTGTTTTCTTCTTTATTTATATGCATGCAAATTATGATGAAGAAAACAAATTATGTTATTATTATTAAAATGATATTATGTTTGAACTCATTATGAACTTCTCATTATAAAGTCATATTAAGGAGAAAGAGATAATATAGTGGTACATGGAAGAGAGCCTGTCGATTGAATGACATGTAACCGCCATGACTCTTATTATAGCTGTATCTTTAATTATGAATAAGGATAGAACCAATTTATGTAAGATCCTTTAATGCGCATTATGACTTAAGTATTAAATCACAGAATCGTATGACATCACATGAGTCAAGTGAGAGAATGTTAGAATTAATTTAATTAATTCAGTCCATTATGTGACTCATGCGAAATATAATGATGGGCCCAAATGTGATTTAATAAAATATGAGGACCTATTGGTTATTATGTGAAGTTAGAATAAAATAAAGATAAAATAAAATATTAATTTACGGTAACCAACTTGATGAACGTTGGTTAATTGAATGGAATAAGAGTTCTGTCTCTGGTCATAAAGTTTTTCACGGTAAACAATCAAGAAAGCGTGAGAAGAGAAAGAAAGACAAAGAGATAGATTGAGAAAATGAGATTAGAGAACGAGAAGATTAAAGAATATATTCTCATGGATCAAGGTTAGTTCTCTTATTATGATTCATGTATGTTATGTTGTGAAAATCAATAATCTAAAGATCCTGTAAAGTAATTTTCTATAATAAATTAAGAACGTAGAAAAACTACATAATGTTTTACATAACAGAGCCACGATGAAAATGAATTAGAGTACGAAACTTCAGTACATATAACATTTTGTTTTGATGGAATAAATAAACAAATACAATAAACAAATTCAGTGGATGATATGTTCTCCAATGTTCGCCATAGCCAGTACAGGCACTTCATTCGTGGGACGTTCTATAAAGCTTCTAATTCCAAGTTGATCATATATGCATCAATAATCTGTGACAACAAAATGGTATGAAATCATTTTGGCCTTTTGGCAAAAACCATTTGGATAGTGGGTAACTTAGTCCCAGTGGCTGGAGGGTTGGACTTGGGATCCTTAGGAGGTGGCCTTGTTGTAGGAGCAAGAACTTTCTGAATGCTTATATTCTTGGAACTCATTCTAGCCAAACTTCTTCAATTTGGTGTTGGGTTTGATTTGTGTATGCACTGATGGATTTTGATGAAACATGGGAATGGCTCCCATGTATTTATAACCATAAGAGGAACCTGCTTTCATTGTTGAATTGAAATGTAAAACTTAGTAAGGGATTGCTGGTAATATATCAAGAAATTCCTACTAATTTTCATGTTAATTTCCAAACTTTGAAATATAAGGGTTTGTGTGATCACGTAAACATGTCGTAATGGGCACCGATTACATAATTCATTTATATGTTTATATGATTTGAGATAACAACAATCTTAATGCCTAAGGCTAAGATGTAGCAATTTTTAAGCACCAAAACTCTCATGAAGTTTGAACTTTGAATAATACGCGTCGTGGCGTATGGAATGGACCCCATAAAACCACCATCAATTTCTTCTCTTCACCATTGGTTTGACTTCATTTCCCTTCATTAACTCTTTCAGTGAAGAGACCAAGTCGAAAAATGTTTGAAATTCCTACTAATTTTCATGTTAATTTACAAAGTTTGAAATATAATAAATATGTAATAGCTTGCTGCACAAGGATAAATCCGCGGTGAATCGCCCCGACTGGGCGGGCCAGTTAAGCAATGTGAACTCCCAATTGACAAATGTTTAAAGTGTTGAATAGTTGAGATTAGTAGTGGATATTTTTGGAGCTAGCTTATCCAAAGTTTTAAAGTAATTTTTATATAAATTATGATTTTGATTCCTAAAATTTGATGTTAATTTAATATATTTATTTATATATTTATAATTTTACTTTTTTATTATTCTTAATTCTTATATAATTTATTATTTTATTCCTTTAAATTTAATAATTTTTTAATATGTTTATTTATATATTTATAATTTTATTCTTTTACTTTTTACTTTTTAATTTTTTTAATTTTTTATATTTATTTATTATTTATTAATAATATATTATTTAACTCCTAAAATAAATAGTTAATATCCACTACTAAACGCAACGCATGAAAACACGGTTAACCTACAATTTTCTTGCCCATTTTTCCTTCGTGTGTATGACCCTGTCATGCATATGATTTTTCACCAAATTGGTTTAAAAATGTTAGTATTTTATTGATATGAGTCCAATTTTTTAAAAATTACGTAAAGAATTAATGGTGTTATGTTACATGATTTTAAAAAATAATTAAATCGTATTATTATGTTACACGATTTTAAAATAAAAACATCATGAAATGTAATACAATTTTACAATAATAAAATTAAAATAATATTTGTTTAATGAATTTAAGGTAACTTTTTTATAGAACTAAAGTCGTATTATGGAATTAAGTTTTTTTTTCATAATTGAATTAATTTTATGAAATAAATATATTTTTTAAAAATAACAAATTATTTATTATTATTATATATTTAGGTTATAAAATAAAATATTAATTATTTATTTTATTTATATCCATTATTATTTTATATAAATTTTGTATAAATAATTAAAATAGAAAAAATAATTATTTTGAACAAAAAATAAATATATATTAATAAATTTATTTTTAAATTTAAATTGTGTTGTCTTATTATTTTGAATTAATATTAAATATATTTTTGCAATTTTTCATTCAAATAATATTTTAATTAATTTTATGTTATTAATATAATTTTTAAAAAGTATTATTTATATAATACAAAATATACATATAATAATAAAAATTTACATATATTATATAATAAAATTTAAACTTAAAAAATATATTATTTAATTTTATAATAACATTATTATATATATTTATATATATTACTTTTATTATTTATATACTACTTATACAAAGTTTATATAAAATAATAATTAATATAAATAAAATAATAATTAATATAATATTGTATAACTTCTAATATATATATATATATATATATATATATATATATATATAAAATGATTAATTTTTTAAATAATATTTTTATCTAAAAACTTAAATTAATTGTAAAAAATCTGCGAAAAATATATATGATTAATGTTAAAATAAATAATATAGCATAATTTAAATTTAATTTTTTTATTATATTTATTTTTTATTTAAAATAATTAATTGTTTTATTATTTAAAATTATATAAAATAATAATTAATATAAATCAAATAAATTATAATTTTTTAAATAATATATTTATCTAATAAAATTAATTTAATTACTAAAAAGATTAAAGTTATTATAAAATTTTAGTTATATAAAAATATAAGTACTATTTGACTTTAGTTCAATAAAAAAAATTAGAAAGCACGATTTTAATTTTATTATTATAAAATTTTCTTTATATGATTTATTTATTTTAAAATTGTATAACATAATAGGATTTAACCTTTTACGTAATATTTAAAAAATTGACCCATTTCATAAAACCCTAACATTTTTAACCAATTGGTAAAACAACCTCATCTATCTCACTGCATTCATTACATCCCCATTATTTTCACTTTAACGCCAGAGACTAAGTGGCATAATTTGATAGATCAAAATATTAGTGTCTTATTTTCCTTCCTCATACAATTCTTTATAGTTTGTAACTTAGTTCACACAAAAATAGAGTAATGTTGTTTCTATAACTTTTTTTTTCTCTTCATTTTTTTTCATAAAACTATATACCTTCTTCCTCTTTTTTCTCTCTTCTCCATATATAATTTAATATATGTTAATCAAAATCAAATATTATAATAAATTTCCTGTACACACATGTTTCTTTATAGTGTATAGAGCGAAATTTGTAAAAGCCGACGGTTAAAGGAAAAACTAAGTTGTTCCCATCAATATTTTTACGAGATAGAATTTTTCACACTCAGTTCAGCTTTTGGAACCGTATTGGGCATATTTAAAAATAAAATAAATCTAGATTAAAAAATAAAATATAGATATAAATTTTAAATTTTATAAATGAAATTAATTTTAATTATTAATTATGGTGGTTTGATATATACAATTTTAAAAAATTATATATTTAAATAAAATAATATTTATTCAATTTTAAAAAATTATATATTTAAATAAAATAATATTTATTCAATTTTAAAAAATTATATATATATATATATATATATATATATATATATTAAAATATATTTAGACAGATAAGTCTGTTTCGCTTAATACGTTGTATATTATCAATAAATTTATTATATTATAAAAATATTATTTTATTAAATTCATTAATTGAATTATTAAACTTATGTATTCACAAATCTAAGTAAATAATCAAATTTATAAAAATATTGATAATTACATGAATGTGTATTTAGTTTCACCTTATAAAACAATCAATTACTATATAAATTTTAATATATTAAATAGTTATACATTTTATTAAAAAAATCAATCAAAAGATAATGCTTTAGATTTTGTCACGAGTACAATAACATTTATGCTGTGGTGGAAAAAATTAACAAATACAATAAACAGATACACTGGCCGAGTCCACGTATTCGGGAATCCCTAAATATACACGTACTATTGCTTCCTTTCACCTTGAATGAAACTTGTAAGACCTACTTAATCATAGACCATTAATATGCAACATACCAAGTCATTTTGGTTTGGATGGCCTTGTTGTAGGGGTAAGAACGCTCTGAATGTTTATGCCTGCAGTGGTTGGAGTTTTGGACTTGCTACTGTGAGAGGGTGGCCTTGTCGTAGGGGTAAGAACTGTCTGAATGGCTATGCCTTGAGAAGCTGAAGTTTTGGACATGCTACTCTTAGAGGGTGGCCTTGTTGTGGGGGCAAGAGCACCGTGAATGGATAGCTTTTGGAAACTCATTGTACAATGTTAACTACTTCAAATTGGTGTGGCTTTGTGAATTTATAGGGAAACAAGCCTTCATATGAAGTATTCATTTAATGCATGGAAGTTACGTACTAAGTAATTAAAATGGTAATATGCATAGAAACTTCTGCTATTTTTCTGGTTTCATACTTGCCAGTATTTTCCTAGGGTTTGTCTGAGAGGTATATGATGCTTGTGGCACAAGGAGAAGCCTGCTATGAATTGGAAACAATAACTATTCCAGCTTTGCCATGGTAGCCTTTTTCATTAACACGTTAGTTTCTCATGAAAATCGAATTGTCAAATATTTTCAAGTATGAAAACGCGGCAACGCATAGCAAACTATCGGTTTCTCTGTAGTTGCATTTTCTTTTCTTCTTATTTTCACTATTGTCATTAACTCTTTTCCACCCAGAGGAGAAGACCGCGTCATATGCATTTGAAAAGTTAAACTGAAAGCGAAACTAAACATTTAAACTTATTTTATAACACATTTAATCAATAAAATTTACCTTTTTCATATATATATATATATATATATATATATATATATATATATATATATATATATATATATATTATCACGTCTATTTTTTTTCAACATTTTAGTATATAATCCAGTTATTAGTTTAATTGGATTTTGAGGGGTGATTATTTTCTACTAAATTTTAAAAGAAAAATAATACATGAGATAAAATTTTATATATTTGTATATATATATATGAAATTTATAATTTATATTATTTTCATATCAGAAGTATATATTAAAAATTAAAATTGACAAATGTTTTTCTTCTAAAAATTATTGATTTCTTAATGATATTTGTCTTTCAGATCAATTCTTAGACGACTACAAAAAAAATATTTGAACATTTGGTATCTAATCTATTTAAGTTGGTATTTTTCGTTGTATAATTGTTTTCGGTGAAAATTTGATCTATTTCGATTTCTTAGGTTCTAATCAAATTTCAACCACATAGATTCTTTTTACTTAGGCTAGCGAAAATTTTCAATCAAAGCGTGTATGAGAATTGAAAATGTCACAAGATCGAGAAATGTTATTGATGCAACATACAAATTGAAAATCGAAAGTACTCTTTTTGGTATTTTATTAAGAAACATGAAATAAAGAAAACAGTAAAATGTATCGAAAAGAAACAAAATCAGTGCGAAATATTAGAAAACAGAGAATTGTAAATGCGAAAAACTTGAAATTACATTAACTGTAAATGACGGAATTAAAATTGCATGAAAGTAAATGACATGACGTCGAAATTACAGAAATGGTAAATGGCAAGCATTTGAAAATACAGAATCTTAAATTGCATTAAAGATAACTGGCAAGTAATTGAAAGTATGGAAACTTAAATTGAAGAATATAAATTGCCTAAAAATAAGTTACCAGGGAAAGTAAAGAAAGCAGTAAAAATAGTCAATGAGAATGGAAATCCAGATCGCCAGAAACTTCATGATTCGTCGTTCTCCTGTAGACTTTTCACTTGTATTTCTGTTGTCTCTGCCAATTTCCCCTTCTTCTTCAAGCTTCGTTCTATTTATAGGCATCCTTCAATGTAACCTCCTAAGAGCAGTTAAAAAACTGTCGCCACGTTCCATGTACACGTTCCTCGATTTTTACCTTAGTTTATGGTTTAGAAAACCGCTTCCACGTTCCATGTGCGTTTTAACCGTTCCTTGATTTCTAACCTTAGCCACGATGTAAAAAGCCACTCCCCATGTTCCATATGCATGATAACTGTTTCCCTCGATCTCGATTCCAGTTATCGAGTACGATTTCCCTTAACTTTGACTTTACACTCTATACTTTATCATCGATTTCTTACTTTCATCGAATTTCCTCTATCTTCTGATTCTCAATTTTTATTCTCGATTTATGTGTCCATACTGTCTCGTGGTCATCGAATGTCTTCCAACCATCTTTCCGATTTATCAACTTTTTAACCAATCATATGATCTTCGATTTTCTCTCTTCCGTTTTTCGATCCTTGTATTGATTTTTCACTAACAAAATGCACCCTTGGAAGAATATAAACATTTGTACTAATTTTATATTCTTTCAAAAATAAATCCCGCCCTTAAACACTCTTGGAGCTCAAAATAACTTTTTAGGGTTTAGGGTTTATGGGGTTTTTTAGGGGTTTTTCTGCTTTATGTCAACTATCAAATCACATCACCTCCCACTATCACAACGCGCACGCCACGTATTAATTACCCTCTTCATATTCGTCGTTTCAAATACCCTAGTCGGCCTCTTCAAATACTCCAATCAATTTTACCCTTGTTTTTTACCAAGAACCTAACCCATCTTTCTTTGTCACATCTTTTCTTCGTCTTCTCCCTTTCCACAACTGTAATGGCAACTTCCCAATCTTCTGACTTCTCCACCCCACCACTTTCATCGGTAACTTCGACTCTAATAGAGATAAATGGTAAAAAGTTTGCTCCGATTCCCTTGTTGGAAGAAGCTTCGCAGAAAATTGCCGAGACTCAGGTACTTATCCCTTACGCAGTTGATAACGTAGATTACGCATTTGGTGGTCTCATCCGCTATTGTGGTGGATCATTTTCTTCTTCTATCTGTCTTCCTTCAGAAAGTAAAGCCCTTATTCATAAATATGAGGTCCGGATTGATTTTCTAAATGTTGTTTCAAAAGTATATCGAACGGACCCTCCCCACAAAAAACCTTTATACATCAGATGGTTTGATAGAATAAAGACCAAGTTTGGGAATCACTAGAGAGATGTAGGGATTTTCGATTTTCTATATCTATCTCGATGCGATCTCTCGTTTTTGGATATGTCTATGTTTTTATCTGCAGTCCATTTATGGAATAAAGATTTACACGCAATAGAGCTCCCTTGTGGTCCCCTTTCTCCCACTCTTTTTGAGGTCGCTGCGATCACCGGATTAAAGCCCACAGGGGAAAAATATTTTAAGAGTGCTTTCCCTTCGGATGACTCTCTCAAATAAAAAATCGATTGGGATTCGAAAGCCTATGGCCACTTCATCGAAAAACATTTCATTGATGATCAATCGGTAGCTCACTACAAGAAAAACACTAAATAGTAACCGAAAATTCGGTCACTAAATGTGCAAAATCGGTTACTAATTAAAATAGTGACCGAAATAGTGACCAACTGGAATCGGTCACTATTTCCTTGGTCACCGATTTTAGTGACCGATTTAGTGACCGATTCAGTGACCGAATATATATAATCAAATCGGTCCATCGATTCGACTCACTAAATCAATGAAAAAGAATAACAAATTTAATTATTTTTATTTATTTACATTTTTATTATATCTATTATTTATTTCCCCTATCTCTTAATTATATTATATTTTTTAGAAGTTTAACTTATTATTAGATGGTTTATTCGAACCCAAGTACCTTAGAGTTGGAGGTCGAAACTCCAACCACCGAGCTACTTAGGATCTTTTAATAATAACTTACAAATAAATTATATTTATATACAAATAAATGTATATTCGTATAAATATATAAATATAAAATCTATAAATAAAAATATATTTATATATTTTAATATATATTTAAATATTGATATATTTAAATATTGATATATTTATATATTGATATATTTATATCTTTATATTTTTACATATATTTATATTTTTATATATTTATATCTTCATATTTTTACATATATTTATATGTTTTCATATTTATATATAAAGATATTAGTTTTCTATACAAATAATATTATAATATAGTATATTATACTATTAGTATAGTATACAAATAATATATTAGTATAGTATAGTATACAAATTATTAATTTTGTAATTTATATACAATGAAAATAATATAATGGTATATTAGTATAGTATAGTATATTTGTATTCTAATTTTTAATTAAATTAAAATTATGCTAATAATGTATATTAATATATGAGGGGATAATATTGATATATTGATATATTTGTATATATATATATATATTTATATATATTTATATATATATATATATATATATTTATATATTTATATTAATATATTTATATATTTATATTTTGATATATTTATATTTTGATATATTTATATATTTATTTATATCCTTATACATTTATATCTTTATATATTTATATATTTGAAAAAAATATATTAAATTTTAAAAATAATATTATATTTTTAAAAATAAATATAAGAAAAAGATTTAAAAATATATATAAATTATATTTACATTTACAAAATATTAAAGATATATGTTTATATCTTTACATATTTATATATATTTATATATTTATATGTTTATATTTACTTCTAATAGCGGTTGCACCATCGCTCGAGCGAGATTATAGTCGCTCAAGCGAAATACAACCCGAGAATGCCAATTTTGTGCAGGGCGTTTCGCTCGAGCGAGAAGAGTATCGCTCAAGCGAAATACATTTTAGATAGCGGTTACACGAGAACCGCTCTTAAAAGCTCACTTAGATAGCGGTTAATCTGAAACCGCTATTATATGGTTTCAATTATGATCGATCAGAATGAAATTATGACCGATCAGAACTCTTTAATCGATTAAATCTCATTTCAATCGATTAAAACAATTTCTACGACAGCGTTTTAATCGATTAAAACTTATTTTTATCAGTTAAAATAACTTGAAAAGTTTTACAAGAAACTTATATTTATATATTTATATTTTTATATATTTATATTTTTATATATTTATATATTGATATATTTATATATTTATTTATATCCTTATACATTTATATCTTTATTATATATTTATATATTTGAAAAAAAATATTAAATTTTAAAAATAATATTATATTTTTAAAAATAAATATTAGAAAAAGATTTAAAAATTCTCAATTCTACATTTTTGTAAATTTTATCATTATATTATCATGCTCATTATATCAAAATGTTAAATACTTTTAAATATTAAAATTAACTTTATAAAAAATTAGGAAAAAAAATTAATCCAAAAGAGTTCAAAAATGTATTATAATATTGTCAATTTTGAGTTTAATTATATTGTTCATTCTCAAAGTAGAAAAAGATTTAATAATAATAAATTTAATTCTTTAAATTCAGTAGTTAGAAACTAAAATTATAGTTTCTCTGTTTTAAATAATTAAAATAAATATTTAAAAATAAAAATCAAAACTAGTATTATCTTAAATTTATTAAAAGTGTAATTAAATATCTATTTTCTTAATTTTATTTGTTTCAAACTTCTCAATTCTACATTTTTGTAAGTTCTATCAT